GTATTCCAGTGATGTCAAATCAGCTGCAACTGGACCAGCAAGTCAACTCCCCTGGCTGACCTACTAGAAATCCTGATGCATTATAGATTTGTGAGCATCATCCTCAGAAGTGGGGACACATATGGAAAAATACTAATAAACTGCTGATGTAAGCACAGTTTCAGTAGTGCCAGGGCATGTATGTACTGACCTTCATCTCCTGAACCTCTGCCAGGCACTGAGGGGGAAAATGGAATGGCTTGAACTCTGCTGTGAGTAGATTTGTTGATTTATCTCTGCACAGACTGCAAACCTGGTTCTTACATTTACAAAAATTATTTTGGTTAATAGATACTTTACACTCCTTCCCAAGTGGGAAGGGAACAGAAGAATTTGAGGTGTAGGTGTGTAGGGAAGGGAGATTAAGCTTATTGTTTCCTTATTCCTTCCTTTGTATTAATCCTAGTATTGGTACTAATATGACTCCTCAATAAGCCAGTTCCACTCAGTGATTCAACAGAGAACTCACCCCAAAAACACAGTTTTTTGCTGGCTTAGTGAGCTGAATCCATCACTAAACTGTCAGAAGGGCATCAGAGGTGGTGCAAGGGAGGCAGTGGAACTAGCAGGTCACATAAGGAGGACAGGGAACCAGAATGACACCTTTTGGCAGCGCCAATTAATTAGAGCAGGTCAACCTGTCTCATCTGATTGAAACCTTAGAGAAAAACTGTGGTAAAGCTGCAAATAAACCTTTAGTAGAAACTGTAGTAGCTATTAATTTTAAAGGTCACAGAAGGACATTTGAAACTGAAAAATGAAGCTTGAAGGCTTCAATTTAGCAATTCTGAAAAATACCCAGCTGGGATTTTCCATGGGAATGGTCAGGTGAAACAAATAAAGAAAGAACAAACCCAGCTGACCTGTTACACAGGTTCACTGAAGGCACAGTCATCCAGTCTGAGTCCCATCTCTCTGCCATTCATCAGTAATTAGGTAAATGTTGCTTTGTGCTATGATTATTGTCCCTTGAGCTGGCTGGAATGGTGCATTCTGATTTGAACAGTGAAGGCTCCTGTTACACCATAACAAAACAGAGAAAAGAGAAGAGGCTGTCTGCACAGAAAATGCTGCAGCCTGGAGCATCCTATGTCAGCCAGCATGAGGAGTGCTGGGCTTTCCCATGATCTCTTTCTAAGTATCTTTCTCTTAATTAACTGTACATTGAGCCTGAATCCATATTTAACACAAACTTCCAGTCACTTGTTGCCCTCTGGTGACATCTCGTGGATCACAGCAAGATGGCTTTGCCTTTTGGCAAAACCTGCGAAGCCTTGAGCTGAAAACCTTTGTGAGAAACATGTACTGGAGAACAGTGGAAAATGTTTATGTCAAGGAATAGCTTAGAAAAACATTGCACACATATTGTGCAAAAGCTGCTGAGCAAACCAAATATTCATTGTGTGAAGACTTACAAGTTTTAAAACAAATTAGCCCTGAATAATAAGGCAGATAATGGCCCTTCAAAATGTTACATTCACAATAAATAAGCGTGAGGGTTTCAGCTCTCCAGGCTGCTGATTACAACTCCCTACTGGAGTTACAGAACTAATGCCACATCCCATGTTAGAAAGTCAGAAATGTAACTGAAGAAGAAAAGATTACACAGAAAAACTTCTTCAGAAAGCCCATTGAAGGACCACAGCACAAAACTGCTACACACTCTGAGCAGGAAGCTGGAATTAGTTATGGAAGTTCAGCAATGCTTTGGAAATACTGTCTGTGACCCTAGCTAACAGGGTCTACTAATTTCTCCTACTTTTCCCAGGCAGTTGCCATCACATATGAACCTCCCAAAAATGTTCTGTAGTGTTTACAGCTGTGAAGCGACTTGTAAAAAATTCCTGTGGCACCAGTTTGAAACAGTGACTCTGTTATAGGAGAAGTGTAAAACCCCTCTAATTTATGCAAATGCTAATGCCTAGTGATAGTCCAAATTTATCCTGGACATAAACCAGTTAATTTTCCCCGAACAGCTCCTGACACAGTCCCATGTGTTCTGAGGCTGGCTCCTGGGAGCCGTGTGGGAGCAGCAGAGGCAGCCCTGGCTGGGCCACCCAAACCCTCGGGCTCAGGCTCCAGCTGCAGGGAGGTCTGAGCCCCTGAAGGGCAGGGATCTGTCCTGCACACCCAGGGCTGGGGCTGCACTAGAGCTGGCCACAGCTCATCCAGCAGCAAAGGGAACTTATCCTGCAGCGGAAAGAAAGTCTGCAGTCAAAAAGTTTCCTGGCAGATCAATGACCTTGGGCTGGAAAGTATGAGATTTGACATAAAAAGGCAGTAGAAGGCTGAACATGAGAGAAGGAATTTGTCCCCTTAGTGGCACATAGCAAACTATAAAATGAAAAATAATTATTTTTTAAAAAGTAAAAAAGGAAAAGCCATCCTTATTCATAGTAATGGCTGTTTGGAACCAACAAGTACTGAGTCCTGGTCACTAGGTCCAGTCAGAAGGGTGAAATTCCTGGAGTTTCCTTCAAGTTTTCTGAGTAACTAAGGAAATAACTATGCTGAATTCAATAACACAGTTTTTATGTCATTAAAATAACTTATCTCTACGATAAAATATGGATTTCAACATTTATTGAAGGGTTATTTATCTCAGTGAAAGTTTATTGGGGGTTATTTACCTCTAGGGTGCCAGGTCATTAGATATTTGCATAAGCTGTGCAGTGTGCCACAGGCATCATTAAACAACTTTTCTTGTTGTTTGCTAACTAAATAACAGGGAACATTTGTTACATTTTGCTGAAAATCTAACCATAAAGGGAAAGGGGGAAGCCCAACAAAAACCTTTCCTAATGAGGTCTATAATCTCTCACTGCACACTAACATTAACTTTTTTCAAGGAAAACAAAGGAGCTTTTGGCTTGAATTAATCATTCTTTTGCATAGGGGAGGAATGACAATCCATTAACTGACATTCTGTTAAAGTGGATAGAGAAAACACTTACCTTATGTGCTTATGTGAGCACTTCAGCTGCACACCAAAAAGGAGAAGCTCTCCAGAAACCTATGGACCTGTGTTTTGGGTAGTGTGAGTTTTGGGGGTGTTGTAGCCAAACTGTCCTAACCCAAGCCAGGTGATCCCCAGGTGAAAGTGTTAATGTGAGTGTTTAAAGAGTGATGCACTTAAGCTATTGTTTGCATGGGGTAACTACTGATAGGTGCTTCATAGATGGTTTGGATCACTGCAATTATAATCAGTTCCTCCTTATTTCCAAAAATATTTGAGCATAAAATGAATGTCACAGTAGCAGAACTGCAGTTAGAATTTAGTAAGGAAAGAGGGATCAATCAGTCTTTGTAGCACCTTATGATAACCATAAGCCAGGACAGAGAATCAGGTCCACAGTCTCCTTGCAATTTATGCACATTATTTATCTTTGCTCAATGGCTCAGATTTCTTTCTTGAATCACTCCTTGAAGCAGTGTTTTGCAACTCCAGCATTCCATGCTCATCTTTGACTTCTACCATCTACTGCATTGCCCTCTGCCCTGTATTCCCTGAAAGACATAGAACCAACATGCTTATTCTGCATAAATACACATTCTAGTCTGTTGCTGACAGAAAAGTCTTATCCTTTCAAGGAAGTATTCCAAGTTAAAAAGTCAATATATATTTTAAAAGATTCTTAGTGTCTAATAAAATACTATTAAATTACATAATAAAAGAAACAGGTGGAGGAAAGGACAGGAAGGGGGGGGAAAAGCCTTTCTATAATTTTCTAAAATTCTACCACACTTTTGTTACTCACTAGCACATTAGATATGTTTATAAATTACAAGTGTCTGACTCAGGGCAGTACATCTTATTGCTGAATATAAATTTAAACATCTAAGACTAGGCACAAAGAGACTGCCATCCTCACTGTGTGTTTATTGCTTTATTGTGTAAACAGAAAGATTTAATAGCACTATTAAAAGTGATATGAAACATGGTTATTGATTTTTTAGCAGAAATAAAGTGTGACTATGAGATTGTCTTAATGAAGCAGAACTACTGCATGTTGGCTGATGAGATTAGCTGATTTTGTATAAAGGCCTAGACATTAACCAGGCTTATTGTTTATATAACCTGGGAAAAGTTGTTCTGGATCAGAGGGAAGATCCATCTGCCTGAGCGCACTGCCTTCAAGAGAGGGTGACTGTAGGTGTCTGGAAACAACAAGAAGGAAAGCAGCGAGCATCTAGCAGTGCTTTCCCAGAATAAAGTCCATCAATCATCATGTTTCCTGACTCAGCTATACTATTCCTAAATTTAAATTTGTCCTTAATAGATTTTTCTCCCCCCCCAATTTTTTATATACATAAATCACTGGTCTCTTGTAGCAAAGCATTTGTTTGCTGTATAGAGACCCTTTAATCTACAAAGCCCCTTTAGTTCTGTTATGAGAGAGAAGGAAATATCATTCCTCCTCTCTTTCCTCATGCATTTGTGATTTACAGACCTTAGGTAATGCTGAGAAAGGCCACAGGTGCTTCGCAAGGGCAACTGTTTTGCAACGTGGTTGCACAAAGCCTCCCTCAGCTGATTAGAACAGGTGGACTGGCAGGGCTGCTGTGTTTAACTCTGGGAAAATTGCCCTGCTGCAGCAAAATCTCTTAGAGAGGTTATATCCTTCTTTTTGCACTGTTCAAAACTGATGTTGGCATTGTCTGCACACACAGATCCTCACATCAGTCTAGAGAATTTAAGTCAAGGTATCAAAACCCACTCCTCAAAAAAAAAAAAAAAAAAAAAAAAAAAAAAAAAAAAGAAAGAAAAGAAAAAAGAAAAAAAAACACAACAAACCAAAAACCAGTGGTGCAAATAGAGACCTAGATTGTTTATCACCTCCTGGGGCCAGCATACTTTGTCAAAGTGGTTCCAGCCTACCAGCTGGAAACTGTCCATTAACAGGACTGGTGAGGTAGAAATTAGCATTTTCTTTACTACAGTCTACAAAACAGAAGGTTTCATGTTATAGGCCTATAAGATTTATTTGAAATTTTAATCTATAAATACATGAGGTTTTCACCAGTAAAAGCACAGGCATTTTCTCAGTGGTCATCGCCACGGTTTACATTTTGAACAGAAGAACATGTAGTATTGCATGTGAATAAGCAAACTTTGGTTCTCTTTCTAAGGACCAAGCTCTCTTACTTGTTAAACAATGGCCTGCAGAGGACAACAAGGCAGCTGAAGGCCACACTGAATGCTACACTCTGGAAAGCTTGGGACACTGTAGAATTTAATGAGTTTTTTGAAGGCACCTTTTTTAAACATCATCATGTCTTCAGGCAGCCTGGAAAGAACTCTGGCACTTGCATGAGACTCCTTCTTGTCAGTGGCTGCTGCTTTGGGGTTACATTGCTCCAGATTACCAGTCACAGGCACACTGGTGCAGCTAAGGGAACGTGCTGTCTTTTTCTTGCCTTGAACAGAGAAATAACTGAATAAAAAAGAGGTTAACTTATGTTTGGTAACATTTTGGACATCTTCTGGAAAACAGTCATCCAGAGGATCCTCTTGACCTTTCACCTGCTGACTAATCACACACTTACTGGGACTTACTGATACTTTCTTAGGCTGTACTACTGTTTTTCTGGAAGGTGTTTTGTATTTCCCTCCATCTAAATAAAGCTGAGGAACATTGATAATGGCATCAGAAGAAGGCTGAACTATTGTAGTGGGGATTCCTGCCCCATCACCAGAATTGATGCAGTGCAACCCATAATTCTGGCTAATGATTTGGGCTGCAGTGTGTTGAATGATGCTCCAGTCCTGCAGAATATCTTCCCTGGTTGTGAACTGAGATGTCACAGTAAAGCGAAGGATGAACTTGTCATGGATGGTTGCTGGAATGAGGAAGAGCCTGCCAGAACTGCTTAGCTCTTTCAGGAGTTTTTCTGTCAGCCAATTGGGACCCTGTTTTAAATATGAATAATAAAAAAATACTATAGTTAGAATTTTCAGTGACATCTAAACATATCTAAGAATTGCAATCACAAATTCTTAAATGGAAACATATTCACAGTTATTAATGTCTGGGGAGACATCAGCTGTGGTCTGTTCATTACAAAGGGACATGCAAAAGGGTCAATCTTTACCTTTAGGCGAAATACAACCAGCCCAAGATGTCTCTTGGCAGGAATTTCAAAGAGTGGGTCACTTTTAACCAAGGATTCAAAGAATTTGGCTGTTTCAGTACCCTACAATTAAGGGGAGAAAAAAGTTATCTATTTGTTTGTCACAAACCCACTTGTAAGATGCTAAACTGGGTAGTTAAAAATAATTCCTTTCCTTACTAAAACACATTACTCCAATTCATGAATAAGAGCAAACAGAAAAATTACATCAAAGCTAAGAATTTTAAAGTCTGTCTCTGTTTGCCCAAACTCTTGACAATGAACATGAGTAACTGGCCTATACATAGGGATCTTCTAGAAGGAGGTTTGAAAAGAGAATGTGCCTTCTCATATTAGTCTTTTTGCAGCAACCATTGATCCTCAATGTGACTCCTCATATTTACACTCCATCAGAGACTTAAGCCTGTACATTTTCATAGTGGTGGGTTCAGTTATTCATCACAGCCTCCCTCCCAAAAAGCTGCCAATTGACCTCAAAGAAAGCTTCCCCGGATTATGGCTCAGTAAAGTGCAGAAGGCAGTGACCAAGTCCCTTTCCATTGTCCAGTGCTATCAAGAAGTGGACAGGAAATGTTTTGTCTACAGTCAGTCTTCACAGATTATTTCAGAGTAAAGCCAGCAGGCATTTAGAATTCCCATGCAAGCTTTGTGTATGAGAGGACTCCTGTTACTCTGTTATCTCTGCATCTCTGAGTGTACTAATCTCACCCACCAAGCAGTGAACATAACACACTGGTAACTCACACACCTGTCGGACGTGAGCTTGAAGCTTTTTCACCCCAAAGGAACGAAGCACAAACCACAGCTTCAAAGAACGAAATCGACGGCTCAGTGGAATTTGCCAGTGCTGTGAAAACAGAACGGTGCATCAGTGAGTGCAGAACCAACAAAGGAGAGTTCCCCTTCCACTGCTGCATCTCTTGCTTCAGACCTCTCTTGAGATGAATAGTGTCATATTACTGAAAATCTGCTAAGCCTAGAAAACAGCCATCAAAGAAACACTGTGACCCCATATTTTTCAATTATTTGCAAAAATAAGATTTTGGATATTCCCCTTAATTTATGGCTTAGATACGCTTAGAATTTTAAATTAATTACCAGCTTATAACAACTTTTTGCATTTAAGAGCATAATCAATTTAAGATGTGGCCATTTACACTTTAGGACTGACTAGTGCTCGCTTCAGCTCCTGTAATTTCCTGAACATTTTCCCAAATCAATTATAAACAGCAAGATTTGACACTGAGGTAGACAGTTCCAGACAAAGTAACACCTACTCCAAGGAAAAGAGTGAAAAAACATGAAAAGGAATATTTCAGGGAAGCTGCACAGTCACGTGCAGAATTCAATTTAACCACAAGAGGGACTCAATATCCTTTTTTCCATCCTACCCTCTCTCTACTCTAGTGAAAAGCACTATTGATTTCAAGAAAACAATTATCTTTTCAGGACTAGGGTGAGATCATAGCAGAAATAATTGGCAGTGAATATTCCTTTGTATTACTGTACTGAAATCTGCTGTAAGATGTATCTGCAGTGAAATGCCTCTTAGCTCTCCTATGAATACCTTAATCTGAAGAAAAAATGTAATTCATTCTCCTGCTGCTTCAGAGCATGGGTTTTCCATTGCTTACTCCTTTCTCTCTTCTATTATATATCAGAGATACAAGAAATCCAGCCAAAATGGCATCAGTAGGAATTACTTCAGCAATACAATAAACAGAAATGACCCTTTGCATTAGAAAGGCAAGGCTGGATCTGTACTTGTGTAAAAATCTGAAATATTTCAATCTGAAAGCAATTTTATAATTAATCTTCATAACCAGGGCTTACTGCAAAGTTTTGCTATTTTCTCTGCATTAGGATCTCAATATAATTTGGTTTACATAGTAAAACCAGCTAAAAGATAAACATACTCCAGAATGTGAGAGGAATTTAACAGTCTGATTGAAAATTTTATAGGCAATATAAAATATCAGTTTAAATAATAACTTACCATGAAGTCAATTGCAGCTCCTGAATTGGCATGTCTGAGGTAGACAGGGTTGACACTGAAGGTTTGATGCAACTTGTATTTATCTTTAACCCTATGGATTGTAGAAGGAACTAGATTTAGCAAAGTAAGTGCAGACAAAAACTTTGCAATTTGCATGTTATCCTTTTGGCGTTGTTTGTGTTTTGACTATACTCACCAAAACCCAGTGCAGTCAAAATGGACCATCATCCACTTAGAAGGATTAAAAGTAAAGGAATCTGCATATTCAATTCCATCCAAAAACAATCGAAATTCAGGACATACAAATGCTGTTCCTGCATATGCAGCATCAATATGAAGCCAGAGTCCCTCAGCATCACCTGTTGGAATTGAGATTGTTGTTATGTAAGGGATATAGGGAATCAAAGTGCATGCTGATCTCTCCTCTCTGCAAACCAGGTGCAGTGTTTTGGAGGAGGAAGACAAGCAATTGACATAATAAAATAATAAAATCTACTTTTATTCTAAAGGTGTGGATCCATAATGCCAAAATAAAGGATAATGCTGAAACCAGGTGGACTCTGTAACAAAATTCACTATTCTATATTTCATGTGAGTCTTTTCAACATTTGAGTTCTCTCACCTGCCCTTTCACTAAGTGAAATTCCCCAGTACCCCTCAGTTGCACAAAGCCAAAATAAAGACATAGTGGCAAGCAAAAAAGGACCCAGAAATAGAAGGCACAATCTGACCCATAAGAGAAAGCTCCTCAGGTCTTCAGCAGCTACTGGTCAGAATTTATGCTGGAATAGACTTTGGAACCATGTCAAATTTACCTATGATACTGATTGATCCAGAGGATGTCCTACCAGAATCTACCTTCAAAACCCCTTTGCTAGATTAAATATTAATGTGTCCATCCTACAACAGTACCACTCAGCCTGTATTTCCTGAATAACCACATTAAAGATTTACCAGTTGGCAAATTTCATCCATCTCAAATGGAATGTATTTTAGCATCCTAATCTAAATCTTAGAGAAATCACTGCAGTCTTGTACTGACTTCAGCCATCCCTAAGACGTGTCTGAAACACTCAGCTCTCCTTCATTTTGGCATAAAAAATCTAAGAATATCTTCTAGATACTAGAGTATCCTCTAGATACTTTCACAGATCAAAATCAGGAAATAAAAGAGACACTTACAAACTGGACCCAGTTCTGAGAGATTGTCAAAAGCACAGACACCAGTTGTACCCAAAGTTGCACAAACCTAGGAAAAAAAAAAAATCTGTTATAATGGATTTGGTTTCTTTTAATACATGGATGCAGCACTTTAAAAGTGGGCAGTTTATTGCAGGCAGTCAAAACATTAAAACTTTTTATTTAATAAAATAGAAATTCTTGTATACATTGAAATCTTCAGGTAATGTATTTTGACACAACAAGAAATTTTTTGTATGTAATTTCATGTTGACATTAAGAATATAACAGTATATCAATACCCCCAACCAGAAAGCTGAACATACAAACACTGGCACTAGGCCTTTCTTTCTGTCTTCTGCAATGGCTTTCTTCAAAGTTTCACCTCTGAGGGAAAAGTTCTCATCCACAGGCAGAAATTTTATCTTCACAAGAGAAATCAAGCCAGCCTTTTCTACAGAGGAATGTGCCTTTAAAATAAGAAAAAACAGTAAGAACTCAAGCTCTGAGGCTGAACAGCTGTGATAAGTTATGGCTTTATGAAAGACAGTGGTGGAAAGAAATACAGAGATAACGACCTTATTGTAATCCCTATTAATACAAGTCTGAAAGCTTCTTCTTTGTGAGTAACTGTAAGAAATTGTACACTGTAATTCCAAAGAATGCTTCATTTACTTGGCTACTGGTTTCTAAAATATAATAATAGGCATCCTCATCTTGTGTTTGGAAGGCCATTTATCAAAACTCAGCTCTAGAAATGAATCAACTTCAGTTTATTCCCTCCTCCCTACCATAAGAAGATAAATCCCCTCAAGTGTGTTTACTTCTAGAGAGAGCAAAACACCTTACAAGATACAGTTCTTTTAGTTAGACTAAGAGAGAAAGAGCTTGAGTGTCTCTCCTGTTGTAGTTTTCCCAGGGGAATATAACTGCTCAGTTCAGGAGGCCAAGGACAGAACAAGTTTGCTGGCAAAAGCCAACAGTGGAGCCCCCAGCCAGGAGCAGCATTTAGATAACAGTGCCTTGAGCATGCCTGTCTCTGAGGGCAAGGAGGCTGGGAAGGAACACGAGATGAAGCGAGATGAAGCAGCATGAGCTCAGCACATAGTTCCTGGATCAAGGCTTTGTGAAAAACAGGAAGGAAATGCACAACTCAGTCATGTGAAACAATCTCTTGAGGACTGCCAGGACCCTAAAAACCTCGCCTCACACTGATTCAGTTTCCCCATCTGCAGAAAGTAGCAGCAGGGGAACTGGTCCACGCTTGTGAGGGATTCCTGTCTTGTTGTACAGAAATGTGACTTCACATGGCAAAGGCTGAGTGAGACAGCAGAAGCAATTTGTCTTCCTTGGAATCATAAGAACCTACTTGATCAGATGCATAAGCGATGAGGCGAGAATTGAGCACGGACTCGTCAGTGTCTGGCTCAGAAACCTTCATCTCCAGAATCTTGTTCTTCCTTGCTGCCAGCAGTGCAACCAAGGTTGATTCACTCACAGTGCTCTGCAAAGACATTGCTCATTTACTGCAACTGCTACTTCATTGCTATTTTGCCAGGGATCTGCTGAAATCAGTGAAGTGCCCAGCTGCCCTCTTTTATTCCTACTCCTGCTTTTCTCTGACGCAGTGGAGAGTCATTAGCTGATGAGCAACTCTCTGGGCCAGCAACACAAAACAAAGCCTTTTAGCTGCTGTATATTTTAACATGCAGCACTGAGTTCTGGTGAGTAAATAAACCACATTTTCCTTTTGTTCTACAAATAAAACATAGTATTTACCACAAAATTACAAACATGATCAAAGCCCCTTATGACAACAAAGACGCAGCACTGATTCCAGGGAACTCTTGCTTACGCCTTCTGGAAGGAGATAACAGTTCAGGCCTTGACCTTGCACCTCTCAGAGACAAAAAGTAGACAGGAGAAAAAGGAAAAATAACTTCTTGTGTTGCTAAGGACTGTGGCAGAAGGACAGTGATAAGGATTCTTTCTCTAATTATGTAAGAATCACTTTAGTACAAAATTTGGTGATGTGAAACAGATTAAAGAAATTAAATCTGACGCATTATCCTTAAAAAGACCACAAGAATAGCTGCTGTTTGTCCATAACACAGCACTAAAAGCAATAGCAATGTCTATTCTATATGCCAAATTTAGATTCAGAGCCATATAGAAAATTTTGTTGGTCTTGTTTTAGGAAAACTATCACCCAGAGAGAAATTCACTGGAAAACAAACATTGATAAGGCCATCTCTAATTTCCCCTACCTGTAATACTCCTCCACCCACACTGTCAGGATGGTGGTGCAGGAATTTATCTGGGAGGCCCAGCATTTTAGCCAACCAATCCATCACATTCATTTCCAGTTCTGTACAGGCTGGGCTGGAGGCCTATAAAAAATGAAAAAGGAGAATCAGGCTGTATTTCACCCTGGGCACAGATCCCTCATCCAACTGAGAGCTAAGAGAGGCAATGAGCTAATCTGATACAGCTACATGGACACCACACCAAACAATTTCTTACAGGCTTATGAGCTTCTACTTTCCTACATAAAGACACACATCTAAAAATCTGGGCAGCTTTGGCACTGGGGAAAACACTGGCTTCAGAAACTACTGCGGTGTGCAGAGTCATAAGCAAGTGGTGCTCTGTAGCTGCTGCAGGAGGAAATAAAATACGCAGATATTCTGGCCCAGGACACCAAACAATTATTTTCAGAAGAGGAAAAATAGGAAGTGTGTTCTCTCAAAGGAGCAGGAGAACTGGAATGGAGCCCAATCTAGCCTGCAGTCATGGACGGTGGCTGCTGTATTGCTTACACTGCTTGTGTAAGAGTCTTGGCACTGAGACCAGATGAAAAGGAACAATGCTCAGTGGGATACACAAAGAATTTGAAAACAGACATTTCTAGTATATTTTCTTCATTCACCTCTTACTACTAGGTAATGCTTGTTCTTATATGTTCTTTTGGGTTTTTTTTTTTTAAGTGACAATTTTCATTTATGCAACAACATACAGTTGGTTAAAACAAATAATTGTACTGACTCAGAGAACAAGAAAGAATGACTAAGACCTGCTCTTGCATATTACACACAGGAGAGGAATGTCTAAAATAGCCCCAAAAAATTTACCCATGTGAATCCCAAGCAGTTAATTGCGTCAGCCAACATATCTCCAAGGAGTGAAGGCCAGGAAGTTAGAGCTGGAAAGTAGGCATGCATGTGTGGACTTTGCCAATGGACTACCTAGAACAGAATTATGTAGAAATTCAGTCTGAAAATGTCACAAAACTTTGCATGAGATGTAGTGGTTCCTATCTGTTTAAAGTGAGAGAAAATGATTACAGCAACATAATATGTGCAACTATATATCTGCAGCAGGGAGCTGCAGAGATAATATCAACAGGGGAGCAGCACTAGCAGATGATAACACTGTATTATTAACAGATAAATTGCAAATAGCAGCAAAGGCATTTATCTGAATTAAACAGGCAGGCAAAGATTCTGAACAGGAAAGAATGTTGTGCTGCATTTGAAAGACCAGAGTCAGAAAGATTTATCAAAATATTTATCTTTATAAAGGGAATCCTTGCAACAAATTTGCTCATTTTGTCAAACAAGTTGCTTCTAGCTACACACAGCAATTTACAACTATAGAAACCCTTCTATACATCTGAATGAACTGGTGTGGGGAACACCAGCATAAGTACATGTAATCTGGTTGCCTCTCCTACATCAGATCAAGTTTCTGCAAACATCTACAAAAAAGTTTGAGAACAGGCTTTGAAAAAGCTTCTTACGTAAAACATGCAATTTGGTAATATGAATTCCTTTAGCAGAATCTGCAGTATCTCTGTACAAGAGGAAGCAGACTTTTACATTCAAAGCACAGGAAACAAGCCTTGTATGTGCATGAAGCTGGGCAAGAGTTGTTTCACCTTGCTGTGCCCAGTTTCCACATCTCTGAAATTAAGATTATATGGTTCAGCAGTAAAGACATTGTGAAGCTAATGATTTTCTCATACTGCTGAATTTGTTTCCCTATAAGCAAATATGAGTTATATACAAAATAGTTAAAAAATACACTTATAATCTAACCCCTAAAATTATAGTTAGGAACACAACTGTGGACATAACATTTACAAGATTCATGCTACATTTTTGGTACTTTATTTATTTAGAACAATCTTCTGCAGAACTTGTACATTCCCAGGATTTGGTGTTCACCCCAGGTAGTAATGGTTTTTTCCTGTCATTATTGTTTTATTTCTTACCCCTGGCATAATAATCTTCTCTATATCTCCAAAGATGTTGTCCCAGCTGTCTGGGTCCATTGGGGCAGAGTCTGGCAGCTGGGCTCTCATGTAACCTGGCTGCACATCAGGAGTCACCCTTCTCTCTCTCACATTGCTCAGGTACTGGCAAATGTAATCCACCATCTCTTTCCCTGGAAGAGGCAAACCAGTGGTTTCAGTTTCAGTTATGGAAACACTAACTAGCAGTTCAGACACTCCACACAATCTGTCCTTAGCATTGGACAGAGATTCCAATAGCATTGGAATACTGCTCCCAGCTCCTCCCTCCTACACCCTACTTGTCCCATCTAATAATGTTCTAAAACAGGCTCACAGGGTTTTTTCAGTTCCATCACTAAATAGTTCAAATGTACCTTTAAAACATAGTCATGGTACAAGTTTGTTTGGTTACTGAAAGTTTAGATTTTCTGCATTTCACAGGAATTAAATTTTCATAATGTCCTACACTTCCTTGTCATTAAAGCAAACCCGGTTTCACATCCTCTGAAATCAGCTGCATCACTCCACACCCTTTCTCCACTTTTTAAGGCAATCTCCTCCAGCCCTGCAACCAAAGTTGGCTCTCCATCTCCAGAACTGTCCAAGTACCACTGCAGTCTCAGGGTGTGAAGCCAGTGAAAAGCTATTTTGCATTACCCCTTAGCACAAGTTTATTCAGAATTACAGTTTTGCAGCTCTCCCACAGCATCTTAGATGTAAGACCAAAAAGGCTGTTACCCAGAGACACTAAATCCGTTAATTTAAACTCAACCTGGGACACATTTTTGCCTCAGCAGATCCAAGTCTCAAGGCAAAGTGCACATTTAAAGAGTATATAGCCCATCCTAATTTTGGGTATCACTCACAGCCCTACAACAGTAGATCTCCACGAGCAAATGTTACCTATTTGCAAGAGCCACAGAACACTCACCTCTCTGTCTGTACTCCTCAGGCTCCATACTGATTCCTTAGGAAGGCACCTCTTCCAACCTGGGCCACAACCTTTTGGGAGCTGTGGTCAGTTTGGTCTGGTGCCCTGCCAGCTGCTTCCTCCTTTATAGCTCCCTTTATCTCTCAGACTCACACATTCTGGAAAAGGTTTAACAGGCAGGTCATTGGTGAGTGTTTATCTAACTCCTCCCAGCTGAGGGTTTTTACAATCTCCCATGTTCTCATCTGTGCTCTTTTGATGTGTAAGATAGTGTATCACTAAGAGGAGTTGCCTCTGCACTTTCCCATTTTCAATCAATCTTTCAGAAGTCTCACAGTAATCCATGCCATGGATATAAGGCACATTAACATGAGACTTGTGGGAGAGAAAAAGCTCAAGAGCTTTCAAAACCAAATAAAAGCTAGCAGATGTTACACCAGCACACCCGACCACTGTGCTAGCAGTAGCCATGAAAACAAGGTACCAGCACAGAACAAATTTGATATGGGAGACAGGAACTTTTCCTAAGAACTGTTTTGAGAACTCTTTTTTTTCCCAGAAAGTGTTTCCAATACTGTGTTTCCCCACAAGTGTTCTGTCCTTATGCTGTCAGTCCCATGCTGCTAAAAGAAAAGGCTTCACAGCTATTGCCAGTTCCAGAACTACAGTGTGAAGCAGCAATGATCCTCTGTGGATTTCCTGCCCTTCAGATCAGAGCAGAACAGGTTACACTATCCATGGAGGTGATATTCCTCCATGGATATCACCCTAGACCACTGAGCTGGGAAAAGGCACCTCTTCCCTCACTGTGCTTTCTTTTCTCCTGTATGATATGCACAAGCACTGGGATTTAGTCTTGTGTCTCCAGAATTCCTCCAACTCCTCCACCTACATTGCTCTCAGTTTCAAAGAACATCCTTATAGATTGCCTCTTGTTCCACTTTTAGGACCTGAAAACACCTGACCTCTCTCTAGCAGCACAATCTTTGACACTACTCAATGTTGAATCCTTATCCATCTTCACTTGCTCTACACTGCATCAGGCAGCCCTGGGAAAAGACAAGAGGTAGGACTTGTGGACTAAGCACCAGAAAGAGAAATTATTTCCCATACAATACATTCTTGCCTATTTTTGCCATACCCTAGGCTCCTGCTTGGGGCTGGCCCTGCTGGAGAAAGGATGCCAGGCCAGGCAGACTCTGTGTCTGATACCTCCCAGCAGTTTTGCTGTTCTCCCACAGGAGAGAACAGGCTGCCAGAGCAGCTTTGATTCTCTGCCCCAGGTACTCTAATGCAAGCACAACCACTTACATAGTTCTAGAAAGTTTTTACATTGTTCTCACACACAGTCTACAGAACAGTGTGAAACCTTTTCTAGTTTCTGCTGCAAATAGATACTTGAGAAGGAACTGTTTTATAGATATGAGAAAGATGCTCTGACACACACACATCAGATTAATGTACTGAAATAAAACCCCAAATTGATAAAAAGGCATTGAGAGAAGTGCAAAAAACTACTGCATATTCATCTGTTTTATCTCATATTGCTCTGGAAACAGGAAAAATGTAATGAGCTGCCCATGTGTTTAATAGGAATTTATGAACATCTCTTGGCTGTACTGTAAATGATCCCACAGAGGAACAAGCTAAGAAGGGACAGGCATCAAGCACAGGACCAACTCAAAATGATCCCAAAGTTCTCAAAACCCCTGATTTTAGCTCATTACAAGTGATTAATATGCTAATATATATGGACAGCTGTTCAAAGAAACAGATGGTAGCTAATTACGTTATGTTTTTAATTTGGAACAGCAAATAAGGAACAATATTTTTAACAATGTTTTCAGAACTAAACTATATAAGAAATATTTCGTGTAACATATACCCTACTTTAGCTCAAAGGTGACAGCTTCATTGGGTTCATCTCTTGTTCTGTGCAGAAGAGAACAAACAGCAGGTCCCGTTCGGAACTAAAATAAAATAGCTGATAATGGATTACAGGCAGGGTAAATATTGCTGGTGATAAATAAGGTTTTATTATAGCTACGCTGCACTCAGGGTTTTGTTATGGACAATGAGGAATAGAATATTTGCTCACAGGAAACAGAATGAATAGAAAAGGTTCATTTCATTGTTTGCTGCCAACATCTGCTGTCACAACCGTGGGAAACTCTCCACTTGGATGCTGCCACTATCACCACTCAAACAGTGCCACTCTTATCATTAGTAAGAAATCACAGAGATTACACTGTTGTTAAATGTGTGGGATGTGAGGACACAAACATTATTTTAATCACAAAATAATTCATTGGAGCAACGTCTAAGCAGCACATTTCCCTTGGCTAACTGGTTCCTCAATCTGCTAATGACATAATGGGTAGTTCCTGAAAAAATCCCTAAAATAGAGCAATTTCCAGTTAACCATTGCACAAGGTTTGCTTCAAGTCCTAGTACTAACATGATGATGCCCTTGAAAATAATTCTTCTAAAACTCACCACCATAGATTTCCCATTTCTATCTTTTGATTATTTTTAGTTTGAATTTGCCAATCAAAATCAAACTTACCAAACATGTAACAATACAAATATATTTAGAATTTTTCCTAACTGCCAAATCTATAAACTCAAGTCAAATTTTGACCAGTTTGATGAAGTTTTGTACAGTACAATGTAATTCTTTCCCCATTCCTCCCTCCTACCATTTAAGGCCATTTTATACCCACAACTGGTTTTTTCATGTTTTTCCAGATGTCTGACACAGAACAGCTTTGACCTTCTCATTCACACACAAACCAATTGAACTGATTCTACACTATATATATGTGGAAAAGATATTTAATTGTAAAATAGAAAAAGTAGGCCAGAGTACAGTTTTAAGGGTAATTCTTCCGTGTACAGTATAGATAAACCAGACTTTTTGCTTAAGTTTATATAAACAATTCCATAAAAGCAGTGAACATGGAACAACAAAGCAAAGCACAAAGAGTTTTATCTTACAAAAAACGGATCTGCACAGTACTTCAAAATTTAATGTAACACAGCACTGAACAATCTTAAGGCAGCTCAGTCTAAGCACAGGACTAGAAGCCAGGAACTCCTGAGATCCATCCCCAGGTGACCACAGATCACGTGGTGGTAAGCCAGTCATTTAACACTCCCTCATGTTGCACTTAAACCAGTTATAAAATTGAGACAATAACACTCACTTACCTGCCTCAGGCAGAGCAGTAAGGGTTCTTTAAAAGATTTTACAATGCTCTGAAGATGTAACGTGCCATATAAATTTTAAGCATAATAGATTACTGCACAGACATACACAAACACAGTATCACAGTGAGGAACAATGATGCTGGCTAGGAAGAGCATCACTACAACATAAAAAAATTACTCGTCCAATTGCGTAATTAAAATGCAAAAGTCCATTAAAAAAAATGTATCACTGAAGTAATTTCAAGGTTATGGGGGAAGAGAGACCAATAGGGATATTCTAAAATAGCTAGTATTTGTGTTCCAGTGGAGACGTTCTTTTCTATTCATGACTGAACTTTAAATGTTTGTACATGAAAATCGTAAGACACACAAAGCGAAGTTCCAACATCTCCACTACCAAATTTTGCCTCTTAATATGTAAATTACGATACTTTTTTGTTCTTCTTAATTACAAATTACATTCTTCCAAGAAATATACCATCCACAATAAAACTGGCTGCTAGCTTACTTCAAATGACCTATAGGCTAAACATTTTTCTCATAATTTTTCTCATCTTTGCTGAAAAATACCTATGCAAGATGTATGTGTAGAAATTATAAAAACATGCAGCATATGTACAAACTGAAAAGTTTAAAAAATATTAGCTTCATATACATGTAAATCTACTTGGATATATCTGAAATTAAATATAAAAATTTCACCACCTAAAATAAAAAAAAAAACCAACCAAAAATGGTTTTCAGAGAATCTGAGACAACTACTTAAAGCTGTACAAAGATTTCCACCTGGAAATGTCTTATTCAGAGAAGTTGAGCTGTTATCATGTAGAAATAACTGTTAATTAATTTTGTCACATAATCAAATTTCAAATTGTCAGCTGAAATCAACATCACCCTTAAAACTGTTCTGTTTTTCAGAAGTTAGATTCATACTAAAATCAAAAATTTCACAAAAACATTGGCTTTTCATGTTTCTGGATCCCTTCAAAAAGATTTATCAACTCATTTTGAAACTGTAAAAAAACCAACTATTTACAGTATTTAATTTTAAATACTTTTCACAATTTCTAAATTCAGAGTTTTTATGTTACAAGAAATCAATCAGAGCTCACGGCTTAAGTCCAGTTATCAACTTGTAGCATCTTCTCTATCATGAAATCCCATGGCTGTACCTATATAGTGTACAGTTCAAGATTGTACTGCAGGTTTTTGAAAGTAACAGGCTTTGCAGTGTGTTCATTTTTTATTAAACAGCTTCTTTATTAGTCTGGAGGCGGTTCATTGCCTCTAACTTCTGCCGATAGGCCTCTGCTTCTTGTTCCTTCTTTAGAAGCTGCTGACGATATTTTTGTGCTTCTCTGTTTGCCTCATCCAGCTGTTTCTGAAGAGTTTCTCTTTCCTATTAGAAACAGAACCAGCAATATTTTGTCAAATAAGTATCAAATACAAGCTAAAATGGCAAATACTTTTCCCTCTACATGCAGTTCAAGTGTTGGGGGATCATGGAGAAGCTGTTCAGTTCTTACTCGGGCAAACCTGTATGAATGCTGCTGTGCAAATTAGACCCCAATTATCAACCAGCCAACTCCCCACACAGGGCTGCACGTGTGGAGAGAGTAAACCCCAGTCTACTGAGCTGCAGAGGTACCATGCAAATCTTCACCAACAAAGAGCTAAATGAAAAAAGCGGAAGCGTGGAGATTAAATACTAACAGAATATATTAACATTTCTCCAATCATTCAATCTAACAGGCTTGTCCCTTGCTGTTGTATACCTAATCAGACAGTAAAAATGACAAGCTGTTACCTATCAGCCATCTGCACTGGAGCATCAGCTGCCCACTGACCAAAGCATAAACCAAACGTTAAAAAACCAAAATCATCAACCTGTTTCCAAACAGGGATTGATACTTTGCAATCCAGATGTCTAATCACATCCCCAAGGACACAATATCTTTATGAATTAACAGGCAATTAGCCAGATAAGCTTTTTTTCCTTTTAAAAGCAGCTAGTAAAGAAATCCTTAAGTAACTGCAGAAATCCTGCATACAAGTTTGCTGGGGGTGGATATAAAATGGTTTCCAAGCAAAATGATCCAGGAAATGCCACATCCTCTGAAGCTGCCTTAGAAACTAAGGAGAACACATTTCAATCTCCAGTGATGCAGGTACTGTCATTTTGTCTGAT